ATAGGCCCACTCTAACATGGCGACAGATGATACCTTCATTTGAAAAAGGTAATGTATTTAAGGGGGAAAAGCCTTCCTTAGGTGGCAAGAAGTAAGACAACTCTGATTTTGATGCTCTGATATGGATGATGTCAATGCTTTTCCAAGGTGTTTAGGCAATTATAATCTTGCATAAAAACGCTTCTGAAGTTATTCTCGATGGAAAGTCTTACAGGATGGGCAACCTAATGGTTCTCAGACTTACCTTTTGACAAAAAGAACAAATGAATTTCAGCCAAGTTCTTTAAGTATAATACTCAATCAATGCTTACAAATATTTCTCAGACCTTCCTAGGAAATGTCTCATAAAGATTTCAGGCTTGTCAGTTGCACTAAAGATTCCTACTATATTAATGAGGCTAATAATTTTCCTTGCTGAGATGAGAAGACTATTGACATATTGTGCAACACCATGTTTGTAAGGGTTCTTTTCACTCTGTGACACATCTTCATTCATCCATAGAATTTATTCAAACATAAAGAAATCAATCATTTCTCATTGCCAAGGGCTTTGAGCTTTGAAGTAAATATGTGCCTGTAGAAACTGATTGGTGAAAGAGAGGTTACTAAGTCTATAGAGTAAGAAGGAAAAAAATGAACTTCATTCTGATAAAGAATTTGCGTTCTTGATTAGTATACAAGAATCCTGTGAAATGACACTTAAAGAAAGTATAATGTATTTATCATGTGTCCAAAATTTACTTTGCTGCAAAAATCTTTATTCTGAATTTCCTATCACATTATTCTTTCTGCTGCTGCTGCTACTACTGCAACAATGTCCTTTTGGCATGGAGTTTACAAAATCCAAATAAATGTCTTAGTAGCACGGTATGAACGTTTCAGTTAGAAACACAGACTTCACATTAAATACATTATGAATTGCTGGCAATACACTGTGTTGCTAATCCAAGTGATACACTGCAAACTGATTACTCCTAGAAGGGGACAGAAAATGATTTTTTTTTCCTTCTAGAAAAAAGAAAAACTGGACCAAAATAGCATTTTGGTACAAAAATAGTCTGTAAAAGATCACTTCAGCAATTTTGTAAAGCTAGATCTTGTTATTCCACGTATATTATTAGCAAGAGATCAATGTTTTCACATAGATACTTTAATGTACCTCAGAGGGTTTTTTAAAGTAAAAGGGACAACCAATCAGTACAGAACAACAGACATCTGCTACAATGAAACTGCTTTGACTTAGTGTCTTTCCAAAAAAAAAATAAAATAAATGGGAGTAAGGAAAAACAGCAAACATATAGTTACAGAGCTGAAGTCTTTCAACAGACTTGAAAACAAACTATACAAGCAGCTGAGTTGAAAGCAATTTAACCTCTCATCACGAGTCAGAATGATTGAATTACTGAAATTGGTGCTATTATCATGTGTCACAATATACTCTGAGCATATTCAGAGGAGCAATAAAAGTTTTACAGAATTCTGAAGTACACGATATTAAAATACATTATGCTGGCAAGCTAGAAATAGTGGTGCTGGTGTTATCAAAGAACTCTTTCTGCTGACTTACTAACTGTTGGCTAATAGAAACTGAGCGCGGGAAAGTTACAATACCCAATTGGCAAATGGCCTAGTAAAGAGATAGAAGAACATCTGGATGTTCGGGACAGCAAGTCAGGGATCATATCCTAGGGGAGGAAAAGAATATATATGATTGATATGCCATAATTTGAAAATTAAGAGAGTTCTATATGGCAGGATGGAGAATTCAGATATGGTACCTAAGGCTCTGATCCAGCAAGGCACATAATCTGTGCACAACTTTAAGCACACAAGTATCCTCATTAAAGGTGCATGTGCTTAAGTGCTTTGGTAGGTCTATGCCCATTAGTTTTAACCTACAGAGGTCACATGAGAATCCTCATTCCCAGAAAGAGTTCCACTGACTTCAATGCCTCTTTTGAGTAGAGAGTGCTTGTTTGAGATCCTAATGCATTACATATATTCTTTATTTACACTGTGAATTAATATATTATAGTAGCTCAGTAACACTGGTTGTAGTCATGGAGGGATCTCTATTATCAGGAACGGTCTTCACACTTGCATTTCCCAGGAAATTGCCCTGTGACATAACATGATTCCATTTGGCTAGATCAGTAAAGCTTTGCTATCCACAGCTGAGGTATCTGGGGATAATGACAATAAAGCATTTTAATTCTAAGAAATGATCTCATCAAGTTTTGATAATCAAGTAAGTGCACAGGTGCTTATAGTTTTAAACAATGGTTAGTTGCAGTCCGCTGATTCTTTGCCCAGCCCTGACATAGGTTAGATACAGACATTCAAAAAGCCCGAGGCAGAAGCTATCTAAGTTTCATGCTTCGCTCTAAGATCCCTAGGTACATTCAGGAGAGAAAAGAACACACGTTTGCCCTTCAATGGTGGGGTGCACGCAGGCTGCCTGCACTAGCAGAAGCCAGCAGCTTAGGGGCACTTTTGTAAATTTCCCAGCATGCTCTGCTGGCTTGCCTGGATGCCGGAGACTCCCAAGCATAGCTGAATGGGCAGGCCACCCCTGATTGGCTTGCCAAGGGGAGCAACCACAGGAATCACAGATAAACAGGGTTGGAAAGGACCTCCAGAGGTCATCGATCCAAGCCTCTACCTGAGGGTCATCAATCCAACAGCAGGTTGAGCCATATCCAAACCACCCTGTACAAATCCAGACTCCAAACGACATAAGACTTCCCTTAACCATGGCTCAAACCCCTGAGACTCCTGAAGGGAAGGCAGCTGGAAGTAGGCTAGTCACACAAGCAACAGAAAGTTCTGGCTTCATGTTCTGACTCTGGGGAAAGAGAAAAGGGAGAAAAAGGGGAAGGGGCTGCTTGTGAGTAGGGTTTGGATCTGGCTGCAGCTGCCCTATGGAGCAGATCCAATGCCCTGGTATCCTAGTTTCTTATCTGCACCTTCATAGCCAAAGGCAGCAGTGGGGGCTTGCTGAGCAGCAGAGGGTGTCTCTGCCTCATCAGGGCTGTGCTGTCCAGGAGCCACTGATGTTTTTGGGTTGTCATTGAAGGGCAGCTCCACAGCCCAAAGCCAAATGAGGGAGGGAGGGAAGGAGCCAGGAGTTCAGGGAGGAATTCACAGCAAGAGATCCGTGCTGGCCTAGGGACACCCAGGGGCAGGGATCCAGTTCGGAGAGCCCATCTGCCAAGTGCTGGTGGGGGTAGGGTGGGCACAGGAAGCCTGTATTCATAATTAATGTAAACTCTGACAATGATTACAGTAGAGTTCCCCAGCTATGCTATGACAAAACCAGACACATGGCCTGGCCCAATTGGTCTATTTTAAATTACAAGCACATGTATTATGCTATGCTGTTCTGGGGACAATTGGCCCACCTAAAGTTTCTGGATGGTCATGAAAACTCTAAAAACAACACTGCCAAGGTGAAAAAGAAAAAAGAAAATCCTGTTATTCTGCTGTTTCTTGAAAGGACTTACTGAATATTTGTGTGCATGTTAAAACACGCACAAGTATATTTAGAAAATACTTTAAAAGGTGCTTAAATTCCTATTTTTCAGAGTAAGACAAATGCCTTTAATACTTTACTTTGTCAGGCCAATTTTATGTTGGCTTGCCTGTTGACACATGGGGCATTATGTTACTACAAAAACCTACCTACCAGGATAATTACGTAGAGAGAGAAAAATGCAAAGACAGCGGATCTGACAACATAGAAGACAGGAAGTCTGAGAACAAATCCATACTGGCAGCCTCATCTGGAAGTTAAAATGTAATGTGCATACAGTCAAAAGGATGCTACTTCACAGCATTTTGCTGTCTTCATAGAGAGCTTTGTTACTATGCAGTCTTCTAAATTGACTTTCTGTTTTAAAGAAGCAGAAATCCCTGAACCACTTGATCTACTACAGGGAAAAAATCACTAAAGCATTCCTGTTTATGTTAATATGATAGCAACTCAATTTATTCAAGTGCTGATCAATGCTAAACAATCAGAGAAGTTCATGTATTATGTATTTCAAAAGAACCTGATACTTTTTAGTGGAATGTCACAAGGTTAAACAACTGGTAGACACTGGTTCCCTTGAGCCCAATTTCAGCCGCAGTGCTTCCTACCCGCACAATGGAAAGACAATAGCAAAATAGAGCATTGTTTGGAACACATAATGAACTGCTCTCATAAACCTCAACCTTCAGAAGTTATTATACTTTACAATTTGATACAGCAGACAATTGCTGGACCTCTATTTGGCTTGTAACATCAAGCAGTGTGCTCTATTTCCTAACCATGTCTCAGTAATTATTGATAGCACAATTCTCATAGATTGCTCTGTTAATACAAGTGCATTAGCAATTAAAACACATCTTGTTACATATTTCTAGTCAGATATATACTGCCTTTAACCTGTCTCCACTAATCAAAGATGTGATTACTTTAGAAGATAGCCAAAATATAAAGTGCCAAACCTTTTCCCCCATGTTTTCTGTGTTTTTCCTTTTTCCACATTCATTAAAACTTATATGTTTGCAATGCAATCTTCTGTAATTACTTTACAACAATTCACAAAAATAAGTTGCTCTATTTTTTATGAAGTTAGGCTGCATTTTACATTCATAATTTACAAGCAAACTGAAGTACAGTTCCTAGAAATACTATTTTTATTTTATCCTACCTTGCCATAACATTACACGATGGAGCTCTTTCTTTAAATAATTAATAGTCCACCTAGTGTAGACAAAGTTGTAATTAAAATGACACCGAATTTATGAAATAACTTTGCAAACCTTGAAGACGTAGCAGCATTAAAATTGTACTTACCTGAAGGGAGAGGAAGGGCTGTCCTGCAGAAGGACAGTGTGAAGAGACAGACTTTGTCCCAGTAGGGACACCATCTGCCCTGAAGACAAGTGAAGCTGCCCTGGAAGTACCCCTCTTTGTAGTGGGAGGAGTGATTTAACCCCAGCAGGGGTTTGAATGAGGAAAGTTAGCAAAAGTCCAGGAAGAGCCCTGGCCCAGGATTGGCTGAGGTGGCTTGTTTAAAAGGGGGGAGCAGTTTTTCCCAGGAGAGAGAACAAAAGGGAAGGGAGATAGGTGGGAGGCCAGGGAAAGGACCTCACCATGGCTGTGTCTAAGAGAGCCCTGGAAGAGCCCTGCAGAGGCAGCAGGAGAGGTTGCACCAAACAGAAACAGTGTATCCTCTCTCCCTCATCCCCTTGGAGCCCTGCCAGGGCAGGCCCAAGACAGGAGCTGCTTGTGAGGAGACCCTGCTACAAGCCCTGTGTTGGCTGGGTGAGCACAGGAGGGGAGGAGGATGCGGGACCAGGGGAAGAGACTGGAGACTGCCCTGGTGTTTCCCTGTAAGTGAGAAGGCACCGGGGAGGGGCAGGCTCAGGGTGCCGGAGGGAGCCCTGGGCTGGAGGGGCAGGGACTGCTCCAGCTACCAGAAGCCCAAAGGCAAGCAGGGCCCAGGGTGGGGCTGTGTTTGCCAGGTGCTGTGAGACAATGTTGGGCAGGGGAACTGCTACGGCCTGCAGCCCAGACGCAGCTCCCTGCTGTGCCAGGGGACGGGGGCCTGGGCAGGAGTCGGCTCTCTTTCAGGGGCTGCAGGGGAGGAGCCACCGCCTGCTGCACAGAGACCCCTGGAGCTTGTGCAAGGGATGCCCACAGATCCTATGCAGGGGCACAGACACAGCTCTGCTCTCTGAGAGACCCAGCTGGGGTGGTGCATACAGCATTCTCATACAAGCATACGAGTTATAGGCTGAGTATGTAATTAAGTTCTAGATAGTTTATTAGTTGGTGTATCAATGTATTTATTTATTTGGTTTCTTATTTATTATGGGTGATTTGTATATATTCCCCTGGTGTGAGCTGTATCAGAGAAGTATTTACCCTGAAGCCACCACCATGAAGTTATGTTTGTGTAACTTACTGATTCTATTGTATTCATTATATATTAACATGTAAATAATTAAATTCTGTGAATAGTTTTATAACGGTCTACAAGATTTAATTTTTAGGGGAGGCTCTCCGCTTGGGGACCCTACAGCAGCTACCCAGGGAGCTTAGCAGGGCCATCGGCTACCGGGTACCCCAGGATCCCACTATTCAGGTGCAGGCATGGATAGCATTGCACCCAGGGTTACACACTCATAGTTAGGTTTGTACACATTTAACTCTTGGAGGGGGTAAAAAACAAAAAATCCGAGGGACATTTATAACTAGCAAACCTAGGGTTCTTCAAATTTTTATATGCAATTCCTGTGTTTCTCAAAAGTAAAGTAAATGGGAAACAAAGGAGAATCATCAAATCATATAAAGTTAGGGCTGGAAGGGACCACAGGAGGTCATCTAGGTCATCTAGTCCAATCCTGTGCTCAAAGCATGACCAGCCCCCACCAGATCATCCCAGCCAAAGCTTTGTCTAGCCAGGTTTTGAAAACCTCCAAGGATGGAGCTTCCACCACCTCTCTGGGTAACCTGTTCCAATGTTTTATTACCCTCATAAAAGAGAGAGATCTTCCTAATATCTAACCTAAACTTCCCTTGCTACAACTTGAGACCATTGCTCCTTGTTTTGTCATCTGCCCACCACTGAGAACAGCCTAACTCGATCCTCTTTCGAACCCAGCTTCAGGAAATTGAAGGCTGTTATTAAGTCCCATCTCAGTCTCCTTTTCTCTAGACTAAATAAGCTCAGTTCCCTCAGTCTTTCCCCATAAGTCATGTCCCCCTGCCATCTCACCATTTTTGTCACCCTCGGCTGGACTCGCTCCAAGTCATCCACATCTTTTTTTGTAGTGGGGGGCCCAAAACCGAACACAGTACTCCAGATGTGGACTCAACAGTGCTGAACAGAGGGGAATAATTACTTCCCTTGACCTACTGGCAACACACCTAACAATGGAGCCCAGTATGCCACTAGCCTTCTTGGCAACTACAGCACACTGCTGACTCATATTCAGCTTATTGTCCACTGTAATCCTCAAGTCCTCTTCTGCAGAGCTGCTACCCAGCCAGTCAGCCCCCAGCCTGTACTGGTACATGGGATTGTTCTGTTCCAAGTGCAGGACTTTGCACTTGTCCTTGTTGAAGCTCATGAGATTCCTTTTGGCCCAATCCTTTAATTTGTTTAAATCACTCTGAATCCTAGACCTACTCTCCAGCATATTTACTACTCCCCCCAGCTTGGTGTCATCTGCAAACTTGCTGAGGGTGCATTCTATGCCATCTTCCAGGTCACTGATGAAGACATTTAATAAAACTGGCCCCAGAACTGACCCTGGGGGGCTCCACTTGATACCAGCTGCCAATTAGACATTGAGCCATTGATTATTACTTTCTATGCCCGATGCTCCAGCCAGCATTCTATTCATCTAACAGTCCATTCATCCAGCCCATACTTCTTTTGCTTGCCTGCAAGAATTTTGTGGGAGACCATATCAAAAGACTTTCTAAAATCAAGGTATGCCACATCCACCAGTCTGCCCACATCCACAGATCCAGGTGTCTTGTCATAGAAGGCAATCAGGTTCATCAGGCATGACTTGCCCTTGGTAGATCCATGCTGACTGTTCCTAATCACCCTTTTCTCCTTCAAGTGCTTAAAAATGCATTTCTTGAGGATCTGGTACATGATTTTTCCAGGGACTGAGGTGAGGCTAACTGGTCTGTAGTTCCCTAGATCCTCCATTTTCCCTTTCTGAAATATGGGCACTATGTTTACCCTTTTCCAATCATCTAGGATCTCTCTTGATCGCCATGAATTTTCAAAGATGATGGCCAACAGCTCTGCAATCACATCAGCCAACTCCATCAGCACCCTCAGGTGCATCCAATCTGGCCCCATGGACTTGTACACATCCAGTAGTCCCTAACCTATTCTTTTACCACTAAGGACTGCTCACCTCCTCCCCAAAACTGTGCTGCATGGTGCAGTAGTCTGGGAGATGGTCTTGCTTAAGAAGACAGAGGCAAAAAAGACATTGAGCACTTCAGCCATTTCCTCATCATCTGTCACAGGGTTGCTTCCCCCATTCAGTAAGGAACTCTTACTTTTCCTGCTCCTCCTCTTGCTACCAACATATTTGTAGAAACCCTTCTTATTACCTTTCACATTCCTTGCTAGCTGCAACTCCAATTGTGCTTTAGCCTTCCAACTTCATCCCTGCATGCCTGAGCAATGCTCTTATATTTGTAAGTAATAGCAAAGCTCTTTTATTGTCAGGCTCTAAGAGTTAGGGAAAAGAATTATGAATGCCAGTAATGCTGCTTACAACTCAAAGAGATGGAGAGGGCACAATACCATGAAACACTGATAAAGATGTTCCATGACATTAATGCCACTATTTATATATCAGCATGTATTGCAAATGTTACTTACCATCTCCTTAGATTAGTATGTTGCCCGGAATCAAATTAAAATTTATGATTATAATTTTGAATAATTTACAAGGATTATGTATTACAATGCTTCACAGTTTGAATTTAATGAATATCTATATAGATATAGATATTTCTATATCTATATATAGAGAGAACAAATATGTATTTCATAGATATATTCTATAAATGCATATTCTGTTCATATATATGTATAGAATATGTATAATTAGAAGCATACACATAGTGCCACATCAAAGAAAAAAAAACACTATGAAAATGTACTGTATGACAGGCCTGTGCATTCTATTTGAATGTTGATGCCCTTCTAATTTACATGTGGTGGAAACATTTCACAAATGAAGAGACACAAACAAGTATAAAGCATAATATAGGATCACAAGAAAATAAGGTGGAATAGGCCTAACAAGGTTATCTAACTCGACCCCTTGTTCAAGGAAGCAGCATCCATGACTAAATTATCCCAGGCAAGTGTCTGTAACCTGCTCTTGAAAAATTCCAACGATGGAGATTCAATTTTTTCTTTAGGTAGTCTATTCCAATGCTTGACCACCCTCATAGTCAGAAAATTCATTGTAAGCTCCAACCTAAATATCTCTTGCTGGAGCTTTAGACCATTGCTCATAGTCCTGTCCCCAGTGGCCACAGAGGAAAGCCCATCTCCATTGCCTTCAGGTATTTGAGGACTGTTATCAAATCCCATCTCAGTCTTCTCTTCTGTAGACTAAATGACCCTATTTCTTTCAGCCTTTCCTCATGGCTAAAGTGTTGGGATATCACCAGGTATGGACGTGGGCCTTTGCATCCTGTTGACATTCACTGGCCTTCCCCCCCAGGGACAGTGCCAGTCAGCATAATTGGGTTGCCTGCCATGACTTTGATGACTTAATTAATGGGGGGAGGGGTGATTACTCCCCGACCCTGTGTTGACTGACACTTGCCCCAGTGCCAGACCAGGTATACAACAAAACTTCTTTGCAAAGAAAAAGAAAAGAAAAGAAAAAAAAAACTTGCTGTCCATGCAGTGCTTCATTCCCGGCTGCAGCAAACTCAGACGCCGACTCTCTCTTCTCTTGCCTTCAGTCAACAAGTGCTTGCTCACCAGAACTGTGAACAAGTGTTTTGTTGGGGGGGTTTTCTGTCACTTACAGTAAATGATGCTGTGCCGACTTAATTGACTGTCCATGGTGACCAATTAATGTGGAAATGTCTCTTTTCTGTAGGTGTGAACTCCTCTGAGCTCTCAAGACCCTGCAGGTCTCTTGCCCTGTTCCTGGGGACTTCCATTCTGGGCAGCAGATGGGTATTCACCCTATCTACCTGCCCCGTCTTCTCCTTCTACTCTCCTCCCTCTGTCCTGTCTCCTGGGACCAGAAATAGCCCCGGTCACTTAATTAGGCCAATCCACCTCACCTGGCGAGATGATAAAGCAGTGCGGGGGTGGATCGGGAGGTCCAGTTGCAGTGTGGCCACACTGCTACAGCTAAGGGGTCTGTTCCTGGTAAATGCTCTTGATCTC